AACTTGGAAACAAAATCCAGCAGATTGTTTTTTTTACTTTTTTGGAATGACTATGACCTGGGTGACATAATCTTCACCAGCATATTTTCCGGGGAGTTGCACTTATATTCCTATAGAAACTGCTTGACAGGTTTTGATCACTTATTCTTTCAATGGTGACATATAGGTTCAAGGTTCCTTATAACTGGAAAAGTACAAAGGCAGAAACCTTTTTACAATGGAAACTACAGTACCTGCTTCAGAAGTGCATGTTTTGTAGGTGAAATTTCAGTGTCTGATTTTATTTTAGACTAATTAAGGTGAAAGTAAGGATATCTAATATTTGTTATATGTTGAACAAGGGTGCCGTTACCTCATCCTTCAGTTACGTAGTGAATTACAAGGCAAAATGGCATGCATTATGTTTCCATTCCATCGACTGCATTAATTTTTATATGTGAAGAAAAATAATCTTTGCTTTAAAAATCGTACACCTCGGAAAGTTCTGCGTGCTGACACCACAAATCCACCTTCCCCAGTGCATCAGTAAAACCATTGCCTGCTATTTTGTAAAACAAATTCAAGATAAACCCATAATTGAATAGAATAGGTTTAGAATAAAAAATATAAAACAGATATTAAATGTGATAGAAACAAACACTATTACACCCCAAATTGTTCTCAACTTTTGCAGATCTAGATTTTAGACTTCAATTCAATCAATAAGTAGTTAAACAGCACAGCTATCCTTTAAAGTTTAAAGAGTAAAAACTAAATAAATATTAAAAATTGCCACAACAAATCCTTGAGATTTGTAGTGAATTTAATTTTTTTCTTATATTGGCTTTTTCACTCACAGCCCTGACAAATGAAACTGTCACAGATGCAAATGAAATAACTTGCTGCTGTTAACAAACCCAGGAAGAAGAATGGTAGGTGTTTGTGTCTTTTCTTTATTTTTAAAACTTTAACAGACATTTTCAGTTTCTGTATATTTTCTCTGCCAGGAGGAGATTCTGGAAATACACCAGATGATGTCACGTACGCTGCTGTTCAGATAAAGAAGACAGGTACTTGTATCAGCCTGTCTTATTTAATTTGGCTAAGCAGATATCTGGTGCGGACTGTGACATGAGATCAGTTTTAGACATAGAGTCACACAGTTATTTTCAGCCAAACATGTCAGACACATATCTTACACACCGAGGAGTGTAATTTTAACTTTTCAGTATAAAACCACACAGTGAAACCATACATTGAAACCACAAGTTTCAACAGGAGGTCTCTTAGTTTTCTCACGTAGACGACAATAGACAACACTGTGATGAAATGGAAAAATTTAGTTGCTGGTGCAGCTGAAAGCAATCCAAACAAAATCTGTAGGATTTCTTTTTTTTTTTTTTTTTTTTACACCATTTACGAAGTCATTTGTGCAAAAAGTAACTTAAATATACCAAGGAAATTTCAAAATAAAAATTTTTACTTGATTTTCCTAATATTTTATTTTTTCTTTCTTCATCAGGGTCAAAGAGCTCCTCCGTGACTGTTGAGCAATATTCATCAGAACAGAATTCAACCTATTCTGTAATTGCCTTTAAAAGGGCAGATTTAAGTTAGTTAACCCATACAGCTAAACTCAGCTCTGTCTGTGTTTGCTACTATAAACATTGCTAAAAGCCCTACCAGGTTTTTTTTTTTTTTTTTTTTTTTTTTTTTCAAAACCGAGAAGGACAAAGTGATGATGGCTATGGAACATCAAAAACCTAAACTAAGTATACTTTTTGTAGACTTTGTGTTCATATTCATCTTTTTTTTTGGAGGGGGCATATGGTATTGTCTATTGTTGATGATCATCTTCCCTGGTTTTCAGGTGTCTGGTTTTGCTTTCTAATTCAGCAGAGCTGCTACTGCTTGTCAAATAAATTAATTGTGGAGGTCTGCATTTAGACACCAGGCATTCATAGATTTTGTACTTAAATAAAGTATATAATTATTAGTATAAGTCTAAACATAAAGTATATAATTCTATACAATACAATGATAAAGTCTCTCTAGTTCTTTTTTCTTCTCTCTTCAACACCTAAACCCGCACACACAATCATGTTTCTCGATCTTTTGGGGGGATTCTCAATTGATTTCTGGTTATTTCTAATCCATGTTCACAGCCTAACGGGACCCTTACCCGAAACCTAACCATTACTGGTTCATACTGTTGAAAAACACCTTCATGATTTTCCCCCCGGTTCTGTTAATTCGAGTGCAGGTAACTTAAATGAGATGGAGTGTTATAAAAAAAATTCTGGGCAACGAAGCTTCAATTCGCCTTTGCAAAGGGAGAGCAGCATCAGCAGCACGCATCTGCCAACAGCAACTCTGACCCCCCCCTGCAACACCAGCTCTTTTTATTATCTTCATAGGTGAACATCTTAAAGTTTCACACAGACAGTCCCACAGAATGATCATGCTCCCTACATTCCTATCTCCACATATGGAGTTGCTTCCTGCCTTTCTGCTCCCCTGTTTTCTGTGTGCGTGTCAGAACAAGGTCATTCTACCCTCTTATCTACAGATTTCATCCTCCCCTCTGCGAGCTTCGGCCTAACAACTGGGAATAGTAAATTTGCTGCCCATCCTTAGATTATACATGGCATATACTTCAATATGAACAATAGGTTTTGCTGCAGCTTTAACTTAGCTCTATACTTCTTTTAGCTTAAACATGTATAAATATCTTCAGTCTCATCCATCCCTCCCCGTCAAAATACTGATCCAGGCTATTTTTTGCTCCGCCTCAGTCTGGTGTAAGCTAGCCAGCTCAAATTCAGCTATTATAATCGCACCACACAGGAAAAAGAAAATCAAGTAAATACAATTTTTCAAACTAAAATATAGTAATGACAGATCAGTAACTACAAATTAAAGCATGAGTCTTAAATATTCTCAAAAACTAAAACAGTTTAATTAAATTATTTGATGAAAACTATTGGTACTTCAACATACCAGGAAGCAGATTTTTCCTATTGATTAAAATATGCATTTTATACTGAGAGGCTAAAAACTTTAATCAAATCCAATCACAACAACTTCCAGGAGCGCATCTGACTTCTTCAACAGAAACTTCTTATCGCAGGCATGGATGATGATGATTGCTTTATTACATAGACATAAAAAGATGATACACAGCACAAACAGTTAACACACAACAACATGACAAAAAATAAAATACATTTTATAAGACTTGTAAACCAGTGTTTCTACAGAACCAACTGGTGTCTTAGCGCACTTCGAGAGGGATGTGAAAACATTGCTATAAGACTGTTCAATGAGCTGCTCAAATTACTTAAACTTGTATATTAGATTTCTCACAAGTGCCTGAAATGTTCTGACATGTGCATTACAAAACATCTCACTTGCACTCCTGAACCTGGGGTTTTTAAGAATTCTTAATGAGTCCTAAGCAATCTTAAGCATCTGCATGCTAGCTTTTTAAAATTTACACCACAAAGGAGCTGTATATAAGGATATATAGTAATCTTTAGACAAGCTTATTTTTACCTCATCAGCACACATATGAAATTTCCTCCCCAGAATGTTTGCGTTGTTGTATAACATGCAACACTGCCAATGAATGTCATCATCATTACAGAGCTGGCCTGTGATGTATTGCCCCAGATATTAAGTTTTGCCCTGACAGAAATGAAATAAATGTCTGCTTTAGTCCTTTATACTAGTACAACAGTTTTTTTTTAACCCATAATCAGAGCAGATATTCAGTAACTGTTGAATATCACGACTAAAGTATCACCATCATGCATCCAGTTTTGCAGAGGTTAATTTCTTTTCACAGGTCATCCATGTACTAATTTAACAAGGCAGGTGCACACCACTACTCACACCAAAGGAAGCAGAGATGTTATTGATCCATTTTACACTGAAAAAATAACGCAACCACTTTTGGCATTTACTTAATCATATTTAGTTACTTTAGCACAGTTGTTATATGTCCTACTTTGCTAAAAAGAAATTGTGTTAAAGTAAATAAGAATAATTGAATGCCAAGAAAGTGT